CACAGACATGTTTTGTTGCCCTTGTCTAGCTTGGATTAATACTTAGTCTATAGGCACAGACCTGATCATCTACATCTGCCCTCTTACAGCACTAAATAATGTTTTCTACCTTTATCTTGCATCTACCTACCACTTCAGCATTTTATTTAAAAAAAAAAATAGTCCACAGACATTTGAATAAAAAGAACAAGTGAAAGATGGGTTTGCTTCGGCCTTCACAGGGACACCAAACGCCAGACACCAGTAAAGCAATGTTCCCATACTTCTGAGAAAAACAAGAATTAAGACTAAATAGCTTTGATAATTATGGTTATCGATCAGAGATAAATGCTAATAACCTTAATGTTAGAAGGACAGTAAAACAAGAAAAGGGAAAAGAAAGAAGGAAATATTCATATTCCCACCTTTCTTAGCACACATCAAAGATGCTGTTGAAAGTTAAATTCAGCCATTTAAAAAAAAAACAGAATTACCAGAAGTCAAAGTTGTTTTTCTCTTTCCTTAACTCTTAACTAATAGCATCACTTTGGTGAAAGGACATTAACTGGAAATTAATAAATGTCTTCAGTATAAATTCAGTTTCTATTTCTTTCATTATACTGAAAACACACTGAAAAAAATAACTCTTCATTGGAAATACAAAGTATAAATATGACCCTATTTTTGCAAATCCCTATTTACTTGTATACATGCACACAGAAACGCTGTAAATAATGTTCAACAAGTGTTAATAGGTGTGAGGTGGGGTGGTGCTGGGGTTCTGCATGTGTTAATGTTCTTAAATAAGCAATTCATCATCTTTTCAAATAATAAAGCTGTTATTCTACTTCAGTGAGTACACAATGTTTCCCACATCCCTATATACAATTTTGTTCCCATTTCCCAGATAAAAGAAATAAGATCCTCAAAGGTAAAGTGTCTTGAAAGAAGAGTTACCTAATTCAGGATGGTTTTTTAATAAATATGTGATTTTCCTACTACTGCATATCATTATCAAATCTATTGAGTTGGCTCAATATAAAGAAGAACTCTTACTAATAATTACAAATGCCTGGAAATACAATGGACCGCCAAACGCAGTAGGAAATTCCAACATAGCAGTCAACATGACACTGAAGTAACCACCAACTCTTGCAGAATGTAGACGTACACGGAATCCAGTCACTGATCTCTGGGGGTGCTTCTGATTCTGAAAAGGATTGACTTTGTGATGCGAAGCTGCTCAACAATGTCATGAATCTCTGTCTTATGCTATAAAAATAATACTATTAGTAACACACACATCTTCAGAACGATACAACCTTCAATCTTTTTCACAAATATGTTCTTTTTTCCTCTCCCCCCACAACAAATCTTGAAAGAGGCAGGACAGGTACGATTAGTTTCAAGCAGGGGAAATCAAAATTCTGAAAGAAGTCACTAGTAAAAGATCATACAGATAACTGCAGAGTCAAGATCTGTCTTTTTTGATCCTATGTTTATTGCCCAGACAGCAACTCTCCACAAATGTATAGCAGCCTGGCGCTGACCACATGTTTCATTTATATCAACTGGGGCTTTCTGAGCAACCGTGTCCACTTGATTAAAAATGGAAGAAAGGCTGGACTGCTGCTATTACAATCTTTCCACCTGGTGCGAAGAAAGAATCTTCATGGAAAGAAGTTTAAAGTAACCACGCTAGATATGCCCATCACTCTGAAACAAACTCTTTTCTGAAGGGAATTTAAGTTTTCTCAGAAAGGCTTGCTGTTGTCCTCTTGGTTTCCAAATACAAGAAGTAAAGCTCACACACTGCTAACGCTGGAAGGCTTAAAGCAGCTGTTCAGAAGTAGTGACAGAGCAAAAGTTTTATTATGAAATCGGGTAAGCTGGACTAATGTATATGCATGTGTATGTTTTGCACACCTGCTCTAAACCAGCTGCTAAGAAGCACTTGGTAAACATTCTGAAATGCCTGGCATACAAATGGAGCAAAGCCAGGTTTGTCAAGCCAGGTCCACAAACAAGCTACCTCACTTCCCAATAAGAGCAACTGCTGAAATACATTACAGAGCACACAGACCAGATTTTGTACTAGTATTTGTAAGCAGGAAATAAAGGATGACTAGGATCTTTTTTGGATTTGATCGTTTCTAATGTCAGATGGTAAAGGACAAATTCAAGTACAATGAAACTGAGTAAAACAACGAAGTTAAAAATTGAATGAAAGAAAGAACTTTATGCATGCAAACATACACACGCACACACACACACACACACACACACACACACACACACACACACATATGTATGCATTATCTTAAGGAAAGGCAGATGAAGACTGTTCCTGGAAAACTCTTGGTATGGCCACAAAAAATTTTTTTACAAATGCTATTTAGGCTGTTTACACATATTAGAACCTAAACAGAAAGGCACCCCATGACATTCTGTGGCTCTTGGCAAGATTTTTACCACCACTAGTGAACTGGAGATGTACAAAATAGTTTTAAGAGCCACATTCAAATCCCTTTTCAATTATGTAGACAATGGCAATGTTATCTCCACTGCTGACATTTTAAAAACTTCATCTTAATGCTGACCTTGTCAATATATTTGAAATATACAAGATAAACTTTCAAACTCAGCAATTTTTTCTCCCTAAATCAGACTTCGTTAAAACTAACAGCACCTGATTCAACTAGCCTTAAAAACAAGCATCAATGTATTCTCTGTTCTAAGGCATCCATATGAAAAATTCAGATAAAAAATATGACAAACAGCAATAAGAAAAAAATAACTAATTGGAACAAACATATTAAGTAAAATGCTTACTGCTCCCTTCCTTTATAAAGATTTTGGAACCCATAAGATTTTAGAACTAGACTATGAGGCATAATCACTTAGAATGTACCATGAAACATTATTCTCAATCAAGATTTCCAGAGTTTATCCTCAGGGTAAGTAGTAACACACTGATTCTCTTTGCCATCATAGGAAGTTGTCATAAAATTAGTTACAGAACAATGACATTGTCAAAACGAATAAACTTATAAAGTTAACTGCTGATCCATTCAAACAAAAAATTAGTAACAACTGAAGGAAAACAAAATAATACTCTGTACATCATAGATAAGGAAAGGAAAAAATACATTTTACATGATAATGAGTAAAGAAAATTTCCATATTTCCATTGGGATGAGCTAGGAAAATTTTAATTTACTACCTCTGCCCAGTTGTCTTAAAGAGTACATAAAATTGTTTATCTATAAATGGAATTATCAATGATGTTCTTCAGGTAATCCACCTCCACCTCATGAGAGCCAATCATTAAATTTTAAGGAATCTTGCAAGCTAGTTGTTAAACCATTGAAACCAGCTACAGTGGGAATATTTACATCATGGAAATTGACAAGAACAACAGATCATACATCCCCTCCCAACCTTCCAGAGCCAGTTTACTAACACCACTGAACCCCATACGAGTAAGTACACAACACAATTAATTCTTACAAAGTAAAGGCCATATAGGCACTACCGAGGTCATGGAAAAGAAAATTACCAAACACCCAAAAATCTCCCTTGTATTGTCTCTGAATCAATACTCCCTCTAGAGTTTTGAAAATTTTCCAGATACAAATACTAGAAAGGAGCAATTTTAGCAATGAAAAGCAAAGACAGAAATTTTAAATGAGAGATGTAACCTGGAAAATCATTTGTAAGTCACTGAAGGTGGGCTGGCAGAAAGTCATGGCGTGATGTACATTTATTTGAAAGTAGCCAGAGCAATGGGGGAAGGAAAATATGAAACTGTATGTGCTGTGAAGTTATATAAAGAGTTATGAGTTCACATGCCTTTTTTACCAGACCTATTCAATGTAAAAACTTTATGAAAGGGAGAAGGTTTCACATATTGTCATTTTTTAAAATATTCCTGTGACTTATATATCATAACTAGTATGTATTCAAGAAAAACTCAAGTAACTGCCACAGAAGAAGTGATGGCCAGCATCTGATTACTGTTGAAATTCCCAGAACTTTTTCCCCCTTACTTGCCTGTGAGGAACCCAAGTTAAAAGCCTTTCATAATCGTTGTCCTCCTGAGGAAAACCAAGACAGCAGGCACATGACAGCATATGACAGCAATCCTGTGCTATTCGGTGTGAGCATTGGGATTATGCTTGTAGGAACTCGTATATATTAAACAAAATCTGGCTTTCCTTTTCTCCATCTCAGTGATCAGCTGTATCAAGTGGCTTTCCATTTCTTAATACCCACCTCAAAGTTGATCCTTAACATTCCAGCTTAAGTGCTGGAAACTGATGACACCTAGGTTTGTGCAAAGGGTTGCCTCCCTATAAATGTATTGAGAGTTCAGCGTTTAAAAATAAAATTATACTTTACCGAAATGCTGACTCCTGCTTATGTAGTTACTTTGAATTTGGAAGGACTGCATTTGCAATTGTTCAGCAATTCAACATCTTCAAATTGAAACTTCATTTTATAATGCATGCGACGTTAATAACCTTGGTAGCTAAGCTCTTATTTTTCTATTTTCTGCCTTTGTGATTTTAAGTTTTGGTCTAAAACTTTCTTCAATACTCCAGCATATCTATTATTTTAATGTATTATTTTTTATGTTCTCTAACAGGAGCAGTCATTTATGCAGAAGTAATGAGTTTTAAGTATTCTTACTGGTTGTTTACAAGGAATTACTAGGAATGCAACTGGGAAATTGTGTTTTCTGAATTAAAAACATAGAGTTTCATTATAACTATTGCCATAGCAATAACTACTTATTTTCAATTGAGTATAACATATTATTGCTTGAAAACAGGTATATGGTATCAATTAAATACTATGTGCATGAAAAAAAAAAATTATACTTTACCAACAGACATGCATGTCCAAAGATTGATTCTGCTTCATATTCACACAAGCACATGCTCTAGTGAGAAGAACTGCCCAAAAGTAATGTTCAAAACATGATTTTTCACTATTATTGTACAAGTTGATTGACCAACCTTGATTGTTTTCCTCTTCATATGGACATTCATTCATCCATTTGTTTCTAGAGTCACATTGATCCTGTAAGAAAGGGACACACAAAAACAAATACTGAGAAAAAGTTCCACATGTTAATAATATTCTTTCACTGGTGGTGGGGGGAATCTTAATTCCTCAATTCAAAACTCTTGATTAGTGGAATAAATAAGAAAAAAGTTGTTTGTTGTTTATCTGCTCTTTAGGAGCCACATAAAGGGCAGAATGGAGAGAGGAGGGAATAGAGGCAAGAATGTCAGCTATGACACTGTGACAGGTCCTGGACACAAGATAATGAAGACACAGGTGAAGAAAAGGGATGGAGGGAAGAAAAAGAAAGGAATTTAAGAGAGAGAGAAGGCTGAGGAGAAAATGGAAGAAACTGGTTTGAAAGTAAATTTAATACATGAAAAAGAATTCACAAAGACTCCAACTGGTGCACTTGGTTATATTACACTTAGAAACTAAGAGAGTTTTAAGTAATGCTGTTTTCCAGAGGAAATGATGTTTTTTCCCCATATTTATAGTTGATACAAATGTGCAGAATAATTAATATAAATATTTTGGTGGCTCCATGTTGGCCAATATCCAAGTAACTTTTTAAAAAATTGATCTAAGTCACTTTATAAAAAACTAAACAAATATAATGTAAGTAGTTATATGTTTTGTGAAAGCTTCCAAACCCCTGGGCCATTTGGATCTCACCAAATATAATATTGCAAGATTGGATAATTTTGATTACAACAGATCATTTGCTCCAACTGAATCTATCTTGAATGCCCTCTTATTTATTCTCTCTCAGCATTATGGAACTTGCTTCAGAATTTCCATTTCATGAGGGAAATTTTCTTTGGCATTCAGTGAAGCCAGCTTATTAGGCATAGTTGACGTTTTATTTGGAATTACACTCAAGAAGTGACACGCCTTGGAGTTCTCGGCCGTATCCATGCTGTGCCAAAACCTACCTATGGCAGCACTGGGCTAGGATTCCTCTGTAAGTGTTTTCACACATTTGAACAGAAAAAGAGTTTACTCACTCATAAGGCCTTAAAGAAATGTAGAATTCACAAGTTCCATGGACTTGGACTGTAAGGGGAAGTAGCCCTTAATTTTTATTGCAGTTTTAAATTCATCTCTCTTCTCCCTATCTTATTTCTCAAAACACATCCCCACATATATATCTACAGCCTTTACACTATTAGAAATGCTACTAAAAAGCAATATAATATAAATGCAATATTTTAATACTATAGTGGCAAACTCTTGAAATACAGGGTGTTAATCCCCTATTTTACATGATGAAACTATAATATGGTATCCCCTGAATTAAAAAGTTATCTAAAACACACCATGATCTTATCAAATAGATCTTGTCATTCAGGCCTTCAAATATATCAAAATCAATCAGTTCAAACTTCTTAGCAGAATGTACCAGGTATTTCAAAACTGGCTTTAATCTTACATTCTGGTTTTGTGATTTTTTTCACCCCAAAATTTAATGTACCATAAGCATTTGTCCATGATATTCAATTTATTAATGCTTAATCCAAATTTCATAATACTCCACTGTAGGGATACATTTACTCTTAGTTTTTGTCTAATAATTTATCATTTTTTTACTATTACCAATGACACTTAAATATCCTTCCATGTAAATCTAGTAGATACCTGAGCCTCTGCTAAACTAGTGATGCCTTTGTGCAAGTAGAAATGATGCTCTCTCTGAGCAAACAGACTCTAATCAGGAGGTGGGATCTGGCAAGGGGAGCCCCCTGCAGATTTCCACCACTGCCCCATCAGCCAGGTACATCCCTACTACACTACTGTACTTAGCTGCTCTAGTCTGCACCTTTAATTACTACCTCAAAATATAGAACAGCTGGCATTGGCAAAACTGGACAGCTACATGCAAGAGAATGAAGCTGGATTATTGTTTAACCCCATACACAAAAGTAAACTAGAAATGGATTAAAGACTTGAATGTAAGTCATGAAACCATAAAACTCTTAGAAGACAACATAGGCAAACATCTCCTGAATATAAGCATGAGCAACTTCTTCCTGAAACCATCTCCTCGAGAAAGGGAAACAAAAGCAAAAATGAACTCATGGGACTACATCAAACTAAAAAGTTTTTGTAAGGCAAAGGACATCATAAACAAAACAAAAAGGTACCCTACAGTATAGGAGAATGTATTTGTAAATGACATATCTGACAAGGGCTTAACATCCAAAATACATAAAGAACTCAGACGCCTCAAAACCCAACAAGCAAATAATCCGATTAACAAATGGGCAGATGATATGAAGAGACAGTTCTCCAAAGAAGAAATTCAGATGGCCAACAGACACATGAAAAGATGCTCCACATCACTAATCATCAGGGAAATGCAAATTAAAACCACAATGAGATATCACCTCACACCAGTAAGGATGGCCA